GCCCAGCCTCACCAAGCTACTATGAGAATCAAATGACATAATGCTTGCAACTGACCTGCCACATGGTCTGACACAGGTTGAATCCTCAATAAATGGGGTTTCTTTACTTCATAAGTGACTGTGTTGGGATGGGCATAATCAGGTGTTTAGGTTCAGAGCCCAAGACCTGGGAACCAAGAAGAGAGGAGCAGCAGGGGTGTCTGCAGTATGTGGCTGAGAACCTGGGTGGGTGGGGGGCTCGGCACCCAATCCCACGCCAGGCCCACATCCCCAGGCCTGGTCCTGCCCTGGGTAGGGTGTTCCCCAGGATGATTAGCAGGGCAGGGAGATGGGCTGTGGCCAGACATGCCATTGAGATGAGCTCAACAGAGTGGTCTTTGATCTTCTCCAGCCAAGCCCAGTTCTTGAAAAGGATAAAAGTCAAGGACAGTTTGAGAGAGCTAGCTTTGAAGGCAACTCATTCCTTTGACATTTTCACTCCTCTGGCCCTCTGGCACCAGCTCCCAAAATGACCCAGCGATCCTCTGTCACCATCAAGTCAGGGGGCACTCGGAACTTCAGTGCTTCCTCAGCCAGCCTCCTCCCGGGCTGCCGGCCCAGCTTCAGCTCTGTCTCCATGTCCCAGAGTGGGAAGAGTTTTGGGGGTGGCTTTGGAGGTGCATTCGGGACCAGGAGCCTCCACAGCCTTGGGGGTAGCAAGAGAATTTCAGTCAGCGGGGGCTACTGCCCCAGCCGGGCCAGCCTTGGGGGCGCTGGCTATGGGCTGGGTGTCGGGGGCATAGGGTACAGGGTTGGGGGAGCCTGCATTGGTTATGGATTTGGAGGTGGGGTGATGCCTGGTGCTGGGGGTATCCAGGAGGTCACTGTCAACCAGAGCCTCCTGACCCCCCTCCACCTGGAGATTGATCCCTCCCTCCAGCGGGTGCGGAAGGAGGAGAAGGAGCAGATCAAGACTCTCAACAACAAGTTCGCCTCCTTCATTGACAAGGTGAGAGACAAGTGGGATCTCCACCATGCAAGCAGCTGGCACTCAGGGGGATCTCTGCTTTTGGGGCTCTGGGCCCAGGACCTAACATCCTGGGGGGCTGGGAAGACTGCTGATGGGATGGAGGAGGGGAGGTTTCCACCTTGTTGAGGTGGGAGCAGAAAAATGTCCAACTCCAGACTCCAAAGCTGTCTGACCCAGCACAAGGGCATGACTCTTTTGATGGCATTATACTTGGCTTGAAGTTAGATAGCAAAGGGGATCATTTTGGAGGGAAGGAATGAAAGGTTACAAGTTCAGTTCACAAAAGTAAACTGGGATCACCTTTTCCTGCCTAGTGAATAGGAGCAAGTCCTCCTGTGGCAACCTCCCTAATGACTTGGGTATGTCTGGGAAGCTGAGTGGTCGGCAAGGAGCAGGTTCAAAGTAGTCCACACTTTTCTTTTGGTGGCAGCAAAGCTGTGACTTCAGCCCTGAGTCCCTCCTTCTGTAAGGCCCAGAGTCCTAGGGACTTGCCTCTTTCTGGAAAAGAAACTACTCTATTTTGCACTACCACCCATTCA